AGGGCGGGTCGCTCCCCGCCCGCCTCTGTGCTTGTGGCCCGGTGCCGCCGCCGCCGCCGCCCCCGCGCGGGACCGGGCGCCGCGGAGGATGAGCTGGTTCAACGCCTCGCAGCTGTCCAGCTTCGCCAAGCAGGCGCTGTCGCAGGCCCAAAAGTCCATCGACCGGGTGCTGGACATCCAGGCCGAGGAGAGCCCCTGGCCCGACGCCGTCATCCCCGACTACGGCGACGGTAAGCGTGGGGGACGGCGGGCGGCCACTCGCCGTGCCCCCAGCCCCCCCGGTGTGAGGCGGGCTCAGCCGCCTCGCCTCGCCTCGCCCCGCCTCCCGGCCCCCCGCCCGGCCCTCGCAGCGGGGCTGGCCGGGGCGGCGCCTTCCCCTCGCCCCCCTCTTCCCCCTTCACCGGGGCGGGGGGTTACACCCGTGGAGGTTTAACCGGCCCTCCCCGTCCACAGCCCGTTCTGCAACGCCTGTGGTACTTTTCGTCCTCCCCCCCCCACAGGCGAGGGAGGTTAACACTGATGAAAAGCTGAGGAAACCTCGGCACCACAGGCAATACCTGGTTGTTGTCACCAGTGTCGTGCTTCTGTTGCGTGGGTGGCACTGTGCTTCACACCCGTGTTTCTCAAGGCCTTATTTTTTTTTGCCGAGGGGCTAACAGGTGGTAAAAAACTGGGAAATTACGTTCTGAGGCGTGTGGGGAGTTGCTTTTTGCAATAGAAGGAGCAGAGGAGAAGCTGAAAGTCTGCTCCGCATAAACCAAGTGAAGTTTTCCACTTTTTGTGGCCTTAAGTTCATAATCCTCTAACGTCTGTTGAAAGGAATGTGTTGGTGGAAAAATTGTTATGGCTTGGTTATGAGAAAGTGTCTCCGTTGTATGTGTGCTAATGTAGAACCTGAAAGAATGATCAGTCCTAAGTTACTGTTTGGAAATGAAAGAGTGAAAAGGAGCCCTCTTGCTGGAAACTTTTTTTCCCCTAAATAATACCTTAAAGAAAAGAATGAAGAAAAGGGTGGGAAACTTAAGTCATCTGGAATCAGTGTCCTTATTGCAACTATATCTAGGAGAAATGTATGTGTTTGTAGGAGGAGGTTATTTCCAGGTATACCCACAGCAGAGTTGGACTTCTGAAAATTGAAAGCTGTAACAATTGAAAGTGTTTCCTAGTTGGTTGCTCATCAATGTGTAGGGTCAGTTTTGCGTGTCTTCGTCCTTTTGTGGGAACAAGGGCTTGGCAGTCACGTAGTCCAGTGTCGTCTTAAATTACCAGAATTGTTGATAGGAGACTGTGTCGTGCTTAGTTTCTTAAAACTTTAGGCTTGTCCAAACTATTTTTAATTTAATTTATATCTTGGTATTTATAGTAGTGCTATAATTTGTAAGGAAAGCAGCAAAGATCAGCCTGCATCTGTTTTTCAGGGAAAACATACTTGTTTTTAAAAGAAGTTAAAATATTTTCTGAATGTTACACTTCACTCACAGGGCTTTTTCTGAAGTTATTGAATCATGGACAAAGTGGTAATAAATCAGCTGTTTGTAGTATTTTTGGCAACGAGAGCAGTAATTACCTGAATTTGAGATCTCGAGGCCAATAGCTATCGACAGTTTCTGAAAGTGGTAATCTGCTTTAAATACTATAACTCGGTGTTTTTTAGTAGATGCTGCTGTATAAAGTGAGCTTGTTTTTAGTAGCCTGAAATAGTTATGTTATCTAGATTATGTTTGTAGGTACAAAATCAAATAAGTTGTTTTTTTTTTTCTTTCTTACTTGGGATGCTACTGAAATTTGATGCTGAAATTCTTATTATCCTTGCTGTTGACAAGTCCTGGAAAACCTGCAAGAAATACAATAATAGGAACTATTGATGTTTTTTTAGGGCAGCTTCAGAACTAATCAGTATTTCTCCACAGGAGAAGAAAACTATCACCTTAGCTGGGCTGCTGGCAATGTGTATTGTCAGCTTCATGCTGTTGCTTGGTGTGTGAGGAAAAATATGAAGCCTGTTGCAAACTGAAAGGGCAAGAACCCTTCTTATAGTGTAAATTCTACAAATATTTGAAGCTTTTTTTCCCCTGTTTTCTGTAACGGTGTGTGAAGTGTTTGTCTGTATGCTACTGGCAGGTAACTTTTAAGACCAGTAATTGTTTCCTCCTTTTGTAATCTGTATAATTCTCTACATTTAAACTACATTTTTTCAGATTGTTTTGCTTAGCTTCCTCTCACTCTAGGAAGCGGGAGGCCACATTCCCTTTCACTTGTTCCGTTTGCAAAGTAAATGCTTGCTTTTTGTGCCCAAATAGGCTTCCGGCTTGCCCCTATAGCTTTCAGAATGCTGTATGGGCTTGTTTCCTCTTCCCAGACATTTCTCCATCTTCTTTCTGAAATTCTCACTCTTGGATTTACTGGTGTAACTTGTGTATGATTTCCTTCCACCTTTATTTAAGTTACTGTTTAAGAGGGAGGGAGCAAGTTGGTTCCATTCAGGTACTCCTACTTTCTAGAGGTATCTGTGTCCACCTTAAGTCTTAGAATTACTTTGTGTCACCCTTAAGCTTCTTTTGCTTTGTCTGAAAATCAGTTCCAAGCTTTGTAAGGAAGTAGTAATGAAAATGATGCTGATTGTGATAATGTATAATATTTGCTTTAAGTTACATGATATTGAAAACATTTTTTCTGAACTGTTGCATCTAAAAAGACAAATACTGAAAAATCCCACATTTTAAGTGTTCTTGGCCTCTCTCTTTTTTTTTTATCTTTTTAGGAACAAATTCTCTCATAAGTGGAGGATGGGATACATCTTCCTGGCGCTTAAGTTCAAATACAGAACCACAGAATCAGCCAATATCGCCAACAGCAATTACTAAGCCAGTGAGGAGGACGGTAGTAGATGAATCTGAAAACTTCTTCAGTGCCTTTCTCTCTCCAACAGACGTTCAGAGTATACAGAAAAATCCAGTGGTGTCCAAACCTCCAGCCAAATCACAGCGACCCAAAGAGGAGGTGAAAAGCACTTCAAAGGAGTCTCAACACCCCAGTCAGCTGGAAGTGCCAGTGACAACAGAGGCAGAAGTGAAGGATTCCTCCGTAGCTGTCCTAGTAGACTTGAAAAACCTCGATATTCCCAAGGAGAAATTGGAAGAGAATTCTCTGCTTAAATCTAATGCCAAGCCTGAAGAAAGCACAAATGAAGTTACTGACAAAAAGGTGTCTGCTCTAAATTTGGAAGTACCTGAAGATGCTCTTAATGAAAAATCCAGCATAGGAGGGGATGCAATGGGAGGTGCACCGGATAGCACTTCGCAGCCTCTTAATGCAGGTACAAAAGACATGGGTTTGGAAACTAAGGAGCGGAAGACTGAGGACAGGCAAAGCAATACGCCTTCACCTCCAATTAGCACTTTCTCCTCGGGGACATCTACAACTAGCGATATTGAAGTGCTGGACCATGAAAGTGTAATAAGTGAGAGCTCAGTAAGTTCAAGACAAGAAGCTGCAGATTCAAAATCCAGTCTTCATCTAATGCAAACATCATTTCAGCTTTTATCTACATCTGCCTGTGCGGATTATAATCGCTTAGATGACTTTCAAAAAATGACCGAGAGCTGCTGCTCCTCTGATGCTTTCGAAAGAATTGATTCATTTAGTGTACAGTCTTTAGATAGTAGAAGTGTAAGTGAAATAAATTCAGATGATGAGTTATCAGGCAGGGCTTCTGCTTCAGCATCTGTTGCTGTCAGTCCTTCTGCGCCAAAGACAGAAACGGTTGATGCCCAGAAAAATAAATCTGAAAACTTGAATGACACTCCTGTTTTACATGCTGAGGAAGCTGAGATGGAAGAGAGTGGGAGAAGTGCAACCCCTGTTAATTCTGAGCAGCCAGATGTTTTGGTTGCTACTGTGCAAAATGTTGAAGAACAGGTTGTGAAAGAGGAGACTGAGCCGCAGCAGGATGCTGTTGAAAAATTGTTAGAAGAGGATGCTGAAAAGCAAGAGCTTAAAAAGGTAACTGTAGAACATGTTTTGCAAACACACCCTTTAATTACAAATGAAACTTCTGTCATCTCCTTAGATAGGAATTAGCTTCACCTTATTTGAATGAATTAATTGATGCTGAACTACCTTACCTTGTAGAAGACTGTCCTTGATATTCTGCAGTGGAATAATACTGGTGAAATTTCTCGTCAAATGGTTTTGGATTTCGCCTAATCTACCTAGTTATCATTACTGTGAATTGTGAGTAGTGCTAGCAAACAGGAAGCCTTGATAGGTCAAATGTGTAATTTTAATTCTTTGGTGCAATTATTTTTTTTCTGTGAAAGGTGGAAGAGATTCCTTTAACTATTTTGATTTGAATTATGAAGCTAAAAGCCTTTAGTATTTTGGCAATAATCAGGATAAGATTTTGCAAGCATTTTTTTCCATGGACTTACAAACTGTCAAAATTTGATTATGTTCCAGGAGCATTGTGCATGTTCTTTGAGGATAGCAGTAGTTAGTCTAAATAAGGCCTTTTTACTAGACAAATTAATATTTGTTTTTAGCAGAAATAATCTTTCCTTTTAAAAAGAAGGTACGCTAGGCTGTTTAATGAAGATGATGAGCATAGTTATGGATAGCGAATAGATTAAAAGAAATTTGTATGGCTAGTTTAGATAGATGGAATGACTAGAAATGTGACGAAGTAGGATGCTCAAGCGTGTGGAAGGCTAGACTGGAGCTCTGAAGTAGTGTGTTTTGCCCAGTTCTGCCAGTGTATTGTGTACACTATCTTTTTTCCATTTCCTTGGTCACCTTTCTGTACCTCTATGCGTATTTTTAATTTCTGAGCTCCTTTGACATGTGTTTTGCTCTGTTTCTTTGCATTTTGCTTTGCTCATAGTCTGTGTGCCTAGTATGTGACATAAATGGGTCATACTCATGGCCTTGCGCTGTAAGCGTGTTTGCAATACTGATGCTGTTTCTGATAGTAATAAGAGAAAAGCAATTGCTTATGGGAGTTCATAAAACCCCAATGTAATCTGTGTTTTAAGAAAAGCATTTTTTTGTGTAAATTGTACAGAACATCAGTGTAAATTCCTTAAGGAGATCCAAAGCCATGGACTGTTATCCATAAGTTTTTCTAACTTAAATGGTTATATGTTGTGGGAAGTAGTGATAATGGACCACAGCAAATTTTCTCTTTCATTGGCCATATAGAGCTACACTTACAGAATCTGTTTCATTTGTTTATATTTCTATATTTGCATGTATGTCTGTGTTACTTCTCTATATTTACCTTTCAAAAATCTGGTATTAAGAAATTATTCTGATGTCAGCTAAGAGCTCTTGACCCTGTCTGGAAGTTTTCTTCCCTCATCTGATCATGTTTTGCTGCTTTGGGCTAATGTTTCACAGAAGAGATCTTCCACTGTAAATTATTCTGTGATTCTGTAAAGAGTGGTGTAAGGAGGATTGGGAGTCTTAATGGTTAATGTTAGCTGTAGTTTTATAGGCTATCAGCTCTCTTTAAAAACTTTGTAATTAAATATAACTGTTGATGATTTTGAGGAACTTAGCTGAGCCCAGGTGTGCTTACTTAGTAGGATTTCCACACCTGTAGAAAACGGGTGTCTTGTGTTTATATATTGCTTAGTTCTAAATTAATGTGGTAGAAACATGGTAATCTTCACTGACTTTTACCTCAAATTCCTAAAAACATTGGCAAGTTCAGCTTTAAATAGTGTTGGGAGGGAATGGTGGGGGGAAAGGGGAAGCCTGCCCCTCTTGTGTTTTAATTGTCCCATTCATCTGATCTTTATCTGTAAAAACATTGTCCAGATGATTGATTCATTAACTGAGAAACTGGAGAAGAGGGAAATACAGTTATTAAGTACTAGTAAAGAAAAGGCGCGCCTGGAAGAAGCTTATGATAACCTAAAAGAGTAAGTATGAAAATATACACAGTAGTGGGTGTAACTGTAACTTTACTGTAATACAATCAGTAGACAATATTGTAAAACAAATAGCTTTATAACTGGAACAAAGGTTGCAAGGGATGTACAGTGTTTGGGAAAGGTGGAAATAATGATTGCATGTGCTGTGATGGTATTTTTTTAAAGAGACATTATTTCTTGGGGCCAAAAATCTCTTTTGGAAAGAGGCTAGTGAAAGATTTTTCAGTAAGTAAGAAGTAGGAATGACAAACAGATGTTTAGAGTCAGACTTGGTTATTAATAAAGATCTTTGTAATAAGACTGGATTCAGCTATTAAGGGAGACTGACTTTTCTGATACAGATGGATGAACCTGATTTACTGAGTAATTTGCTGACAAAAATGTAGGCAGTGAAAGTGTAGTAGAAGGGCTGGTTGTAGGGAAAAATCTGAATTCATTATTTAATTCAGTTAAAATTAAAAGGAAAAAAATTTAAAAGTTAGATTTACCAGTTTACTGATCAAATATCAAGTTTAAAAATTTACAGATAAAATGTGAAGGTATTATTTGATGACTAAATTGATCTTAACTTAAAAAATTTTCCCTGTATATGATACAGACTATGGTTAATCAGAAAGAACTTGACTAAGGGGCAAAACATTTAAGGTAAATCAAGAATTTAATTGTTTTCATGGGTAAATTACTGAATTAATAAAGATCTTTGATTAGTACTTCTAATATGGATGCGTTTTTTTGACTTCTGGTTAACGTGTAAAATAATAATTAAAAAAAACCCCAAAACACATTTTAAAAGCATTTAAGACAACCTGTTGCAAATTGCTTGGAATGTCACATAACCGTGCAACTGTTCTGAAATGTTAATTTTAAATGTAGTGAAATGTTTAGAATGAAAGAAGAGAGCAGTAGCCTTTCATCTCTTAAAGAGGAGTTTGCTCAGCGAATTGCGGATGCTGAAAAGAAGCTCCAGCTAGCCTGCAAAGAAAGAGATGCAGCTAAAAAGGTAATCTGGCTTTTTAGTGAAATTAATGTTTATTATTTTAGAATGCAGTTGAATTTCTTGAGGTCAATTCATAAAAATTAAGCTAGGGAAAAGCATGAGACTGGCAGGTGCTGTCTCATGGTATTAGTAACTAGCATAAGCTGATTCTAGCTGCCCAGGCTGCTTGTTATTTCCTTGTGTTGACACATGTATTCTTGCAGCTGTGTTGTGAACCAAATTAGGGAACTCATTTAAGTTAAAGTTAGCCTGGTTTGGGGCGGGGGGGAAGGTTTAAGGTCTGCTGTCATTTACCTTGTACCCATATTGCATTTGCATTGGTGTGCGGGAGAAGAATGGCCTGGGGATGTAGGGAAGTGGTGAAGTATGGGAGTGGCTTGTTTAGAGGATTAACTGGTAGGAAAATTAAGGACTGATGACAGATTGGTTTGGAGTGAGCAAAGAAGACTGCAGCAACAAAGTTTATGGAGTTTAAATGTTCCTGACCTGGTATCACAGCATTAAATTTCTCTAGCTTACTGCTAGTCTGCAAAAAGTAAACTCAATCTGTAACTGGAAAAAAAAAATATTTTTCACAGTCATTTTGTCACTGTATGTGTCACTGTTGGCACAGTGGTAAGTTGAAATAGAAAAATTATCTGATACCTGTGTGCAAATACAACAGTTTGTTTTTACTATATTGCAAAAGTTTGAAGTATAGAAATTGAAGTGGAAGGAGGAATTGGAACAAATTGTGCAGAGAATTTGTGGAGTCTCAATCCTTGGAGGTTTTTAAAACTTGACAGAATAAAGCTCTGAGCAATCTGATTTGATCAGATAATCCCCAGAGTTCCCTTCCAACCTAAACTGTTTTCAAAGAAAAGCCTTTTGAGAGGAAGGGGAGAAGAAAAAAGTGGTCACTGTAACTTGCTGTGCGTTTTTCCCGAAATATAATTTAATAAATAGTCCTAAGTATTTTATCCTATTATTTAGGAAGTAAAGACTGTTAAAGAAGAATTGGCTACTAGGCTTAATACCAATGAAACTGCTGAATTGCTGAAAGAAAAAGAAGAGCAAATCAAAGGATTGATGGAGGAAGGTGAGAATTAATATTTTTTAATAGTAAAAATTTGTAGAATAATTTGGAATGTACTGCCTTCACATACGAGCCTTCTTTATGTAGGGGGAACCCCCCCCCCCCCATTTTTTGAAGGTTGTTAGATGTTTCTGAACATTTGAACCGTTATTGTGGTTTAACTCCAACCAGCAACTAAGCACCACACAGCTGCTTTTTCACTCTCCCCACCCAGTGGGATGGGGGAGAGAATCAGGGAAAAAAAGTAGAACTCGCGGATTGAGATAAAGACAGTTTAATAGTACAGAAAAGAAGAAAATAATAATAATAATAGTAATAATAAATAAATAATAAAAAAATTAGAATATACAAAACAAGTGGTGCACAATGCAATTGCTCACCACTTGCTGGCTGATGCCCAGTTAGTTCCCGAGCAATGATCCACCCCTCCTGGCCAACTCTCCCAGGTTTATATACTGGGCATCATGTCACATAATACGGAATACCCCTTTGGCCAGTTTGGGTCAGCTGTCCTGGCTGTGTCCCCTCCCAACTTCTTGTGCCCCTCCAGCCTTCTTGGTGGCTGGGCGTGAGAAGCTGAAAAATCTTTGACTTGGTATAAACACTACTTAGCAACAACTGAAAACATCAGTGTGTTATCAACATCATTCTCATTCTAAATCCAAAATGTAACACGATACCAGCTTCTAGAAAGAAAATTAACTTTATTCCAGCTGAAACCAGGACAAGCATTTAGTCAATAGCAAAGAGCAACAGGAGGGATCAGTCAAATGCAGATGGCTAGAGGGGTACTTTCTGCAGCATGCATTAAAAGGTGCTGTGAGATAAAACCAGCATGCAGTGCAACGCTCCATGTTCCATTCAGCAGAAATCTAGCTAGGGCATTGTTCAAGGCATTTCTACAGTGTCTCCCTTACTACTTTTTAATTTTGGAAGTAAAATGCAGTTACTAAATGAACAGGCCATTTTGGTTTTTTTCCTGATACGATGAGCTCATTTGCTTTACTTTCAAAGCCCTTCACTGTCTATCCTATCTCACTATAGCTTAGTGTAGCAAGGTTATCTCAGGATAAGGTAGATTTAAAACTTAAGAACTTGCATGAAAAAATGTAAGAGTAAGTATTTCCATACAAAATTGGTTATTATTTTCATGGGATGAATAGCAGGGCAGGGTGTGAATAGAGAGAGTTTATAGAATAACAGCAATATGGACTAGCTTTATGTTCATTTTCTTCACAGGAGAAAAGCTTTCCAAACAGCAGCTGCACAATTCCAACATCATTAAGAAATTAAGAGCCAAAGAGAAAGAGAGAGAAAATATTAACACAAAACAGAACAAAAAGATTAAGGAATTGGAAGAGGAGTTGCAGCATTTAAAACAAGTGAGATATTTGGGATTATTTTTTTTTTTTAAAGCTGCAGAGTAGCCTTTTCAGGAGGCTCTAGATAGACTGATACTTTTTTCTTTTCTGGGAGACTTCTCTTTTTAATATTATTGGAACATTGAGATGTGATTTCTGTGTGTGTTCTCAGAGCAGTTTAAAACTCTGGTCAGGTATCTTTCCAGCTGCTTGTTTGCACTTGCACTGCTGGTTATCAGGTGGGCTGACCAAATTCAGTAGACTAAATTTTAGTTGGAAGGCTTGTACCAGCAAAATTTGGGCAGTTTTTTTGCTCAGTTAGTGATTGAATCAAGACCTTACAAGCAGCAGGCCCAGTATGAGGAAGTATATGAAACTGTGGTGAAGAAGAGCCCCCTCATCTGGGGAAGATGGGGGAGCAAAACCTTTCTCTTTTGGTGAAGTGTTAGATTGGTTTAGTCATTTTGTGTAACTTTGTCCTGAATTGGTTGCCACAGTTGTCATTGTCCTCAGACGGCGTTGTCTACCTTGTGTGCTGGGATTAGTCCCATGCTTCTTGTTTGTGCTCTAATAGGTGCTTGATGGCAAGGAAGACCTTGAGAAGCAACATCGAGACAGCATTAAACAACTGAACAGTGTTGTAGAGCGACAAGAAAAGGATCTTGCTAAACTTCAGGCGGAGGTGGAAGATCTTGAAGAACGGAACAGAAGTGTCCAGGCAGCACTTGACAGTGCATACAAGTAAGCATATATTCGTGTGCCTGTCTTCAACCATACATTCAGCTTCTATGTCTATTTCTTGTGCAGTGCTTGTGAAATGTTAATATATAACAAAGTTATTCGCAAAGTCACTGTTGGCATTGTATAAACTGGAAGTCCATTGCTTCCCCTCCTCCCTAGGGAACTTGCAGATCTTCATAAAGCTAATGCTACAAAGGACAGTGAGGCACAAGAAGCAGCCCTAAGTCGGGAAATGAAGGCAAAGGAAGAGCTTGGATTAGCTCTGGAGAAGGCCCAGGACGAGGCTCGGCAGCAACAAGAAACTTTAGCAATTCAGGTGGGTCTTAAATGCAGTGAATAAAACTTTCCATTGAACAAATGAGTGTAGTTGGATGGTGTGTGCATGTAATGTAATGAACCAGATGCAATACAAGGTGGAACTTAATTTTGTGTATTTAGCAAATATCCAATGGATTTCATTCCTGTGGACTTATTCAGTCTTTAGTGGTAGTTGTGCTAAGCTTTAAAGTATTAATTTTATTTAAAAATACTTTTAATTTTACTTGTCTAAATAAAATGACTTTGACAGGCTCTATGTTAAGTTTGTAGTGCTCTTACCATAATGCAAAGTTCAAGAAATCTAGTTGAACAAAATTTTTAGTGATAATTCAGTGTAACTATTTCTGTGCATGCAAAACATAAGCCTTTAACTTGTAAACAGACATACCCTGTCTAACAGTGTTTAAAAATGGTGTAGGACTGTAGCAACGAATAGGTGGTACTATAACTTTTGGCTATAGATTAGTGATGATGTCTTGTTTATTTAGGTGGCGGACCTGAGGCTAGCATTGCAACGTGCAGAACAGCAGGCAGCAAGAAAAGAAGACTATTTACGCCAGGAAATTGGTGAACTACAACAGGTGCTATAGCAAATAGATGATGCCAACTTTTGTCTGCAAGGAGGGCTTCTAAAAACTGAAAATAAAATGCTATCATGACATTAATAGCCTGAAAGAGAGCCTTTGTTTTCCTGGTTACCTGCGGTATTTGTCCTGTGTAGAACAACAATAAAAATACGAAAGGAAGTGGTTTTTTAATCACTTACTGTAAACAAAATCCTAATTTTTTTTTATGATGCCTTGGAAAAGGAATGCTGTCCTTTTAGTATAAGACAAAGTACAGCCATTAAGTTTGTGCTAGTCCTCTAAAATTGCTAGCAAATATGTTTTGAATGACTTTTTTGCTGCTGCTTAAGAGTATTTTTATTAAGGTCCAGAAGATAGGTTGTTGCCAAAATCAAGTGATGTCCAGAGGACTGGACATTTCTGGGCCATTGCTCTATCATGTGTCTAGAAATGTTAAGCTGCTGTCTTGGAATTTCACACTTTACTCTGAGTTTGATCACGTGAATTTTAGAATGTAAAGCAACTGTCAAGCAGTATTTTTAGAATATAAAGCAACTGCTATGTGTTTAGCTAAATTCTATATCAATCTTTCAATCCATCATACGATTTTAAAGCTTAATTATATTTAATTTGTGATTTCAGAGACTCCAAGAAGCAGAGAGCCGGAACCAAGAACTAAGTCAAAGTGTTACGTCTGCTACACGGCCACTTCTCCGGCAGATAGAAAATCTGCAAGCCACGCTGGGAGCACAAACCTCTGCGTGGGAAAAACTGGAGAAGAACCTTTCTGACAGACTTGGTAAGATGTTTTTAGCTTTCACTGAACTGTGAGGCTCTTGACGAAGATGTGAGATGGCTGCAGGTAAATGAAAAGGGCTTGACGCTTGGCCAAAGTGTAGGTGGTGGATCAGGAGAGGTGAGCACAAAATGGTTTCCGTAAGGAAATGGTATGTGGGGTATTCTGCCAAGGTTCTTGGACAGGTAATTCACGGATTGTTTTTAAAACACAGTGTAACATAAGATTGTAAGGTAGAGGTGTTAAGGTCTACATGTCCTTACAGCATCTAAAGGAAAGATGGACCTTGAGACACTGAAAGTATACCAGCATTTTCAGTTGTCAAGCCTAGTGCTTAGATTCCGTATTGTAAAGGTTGTAATCATTTACTTACCTAACTGCATAGGTAATGAGACATATATTTGTTGATACAGTAGTAATCTAATATTTTAAATGAAAAATGCATAAAATGCCCAAAGTTGGACCCAGAGAAATTACTTCCTTTCTGGAGGCAATCTGTAGTTGTATATTGCATTCTGAAAGAGCATGAAGTCTCCTTGTTCTGTGTTGCTTTGATCCTCTAATTGTATGGTGGAAAATATTTCATTTCCTTCACAACAGAAAACAGATTTTTTTAAAGAAAAATAGTTGCATATAAAAAAAAATCAGTTGCCATTTTGATGCGTAAAAAAATGGCCCATATTATAGATGTTTGATCAAAAAAGTTAAATTCCATTTTCTTCTGTACTTTAATACTAGGTGAGTCTCAAACTCTTCTAGCAGCAGCTGCTGAGAGAGAACGGGCTGCTACAGAAGAACTTCTTTCTAATAAAATTCAGATGTCTTCTACTGAATCTCAGAATAGTCTTTTAAGACAAGAAAATACACGCCTTCAGGCTCAGCTAGAAGTGGAGAGAAGCAGATTGAAGAAAATGGAAAATGAAAACAGTAGGTGAGTTACATTTCTGGTTAACAGCATCTCTCAAAATTGTAGTGAAATGGAGTAAGCTATCTCTTAATAACCATCTGCAGCAGATCTCTTTGCAAGTTGGAAGACTTGGTTCTTTTGAGTGTTGATGTGACTATGCAAAATGTTGACGGCTATTGATAAAGTTGCCCATCTTGTTAAGGGTATTTTGTTTCATGCTAAAGATTGAAGCATGTTACTTTCATAATGTTTTAAAGCCTTGAAGCTATGTTTGTTTTAATAGTACGTGAATCTAAAGTAAACACAGAATACTTATTTACTGACTTTCCCTACCTCTTTCCTCAATGTAGGTATGAGGTTGAACTAGAAGGGCTCAAAGATGAGTATGCAAAAACCTTGGAAGATGCAAAGAAAGAAAAGGTATTGTCTACTTCAGCTTTTATCTATGTTATTGTTGAAGTCTGAGCTAGCAGGAGGTTAACAACCTGTATTTATTTTTGTAGACGCTGCTAGCTACTCAGTTAGAAATGGAGAAGATGAAAGTTGAACAGGAAAGAAAGAAGGCAATTTTTGTGCAAGAAGCAGCAAAGGAGAAGGTACCAAAACCTAACATATCTGTTCAATCTTACTGATACTGTCATTATTTTAGTAGATATCTAGAACCTGAAACTGTCACAAGCAACAAAGTGGACTTAGAGCTGTACAGTATATACTGTCAGCCTAGGCATTAGGGACTTGCCTTTCTCTTTGTGACAACTTTTTTTTTCCAGTGACATAAGTGCTTGTGTTATACTCAATGAAATGAGTCTTGAGTAATAGTCTATTTAACCTGAGAAGAGATAAAATATGGATAATGATTGTTTTAATCTTCTGATTTTTTTTAATGGTCTTGGATTCTTTTTCTTCTGAAGCTACTTGTTTTCTTTGCTTAGACTACTAGCATTGCTTTCACCGAATTCCTGTTTTGCGTTTCACATGACTGTGTGATGTACTACATGCTTTCCAGCTTAAGTCACAAGTCACAGAACAGTCCTCAATAGTCGGTAACTTTGTTACTGCTAATTAGCAGTTGCTATTCAAGTAAAACTGTTTCTATTACTGGTTTCTTACCTTCTCCAGTTCTAAAATCCAAGTGCTTTATCCTTCAGAGGTTAGCACACTTTCAGATGCTGCCTGTAAAAAGAGGTCAGTCTGTTTGGAATGTATATCAGTAAGGTATTAGCATGTGAGAAATCTCAGAATTTAATTCATACACTTAATAAAAAAAAAAGTAGTATTAACGTGCATTCTAAAAAGAGACATGCTTCTGAGTTTAGGATGTTGTTCCTGTGATAAATTTGGGCATACAAAACTGCCTCTGAATCTCCCTTGGCTACTTGAAATTCTTTTGGTGTAATTTGCAACTTCTCTCTTTGTTTCCTGAAAAGTCTGAGAACTTGAACATAGGCTATAAGTGTTAGTAGCACAGAAGTTCTTCATTGTTGAACTTTCATATGTTTTAGGGATGGGGGAAGGGGAAAGGTTATCTGTCACATTGCGTTCTATAGTTGGTGGTGGAAAAGGGCAGTCTGTTCTTTACAGAATCTGTCTTTCACCATCTTGCAAACTTTTTTGCTTATCTAACTGGTGGTGTTGTGTGGGGTTTTATTTTTTTTTTTTTAAAGGATCGGAAGTCATTTACAGTTGAAACTGTTTCAAGTACTCCAACTATGTCACGCTCTAGTTCCATAAGTGGAGTTGACATGGCAGGTCTTCAGACATCTTTCCTCTCCCAGGTATCATGTATCAGTTATATTGGCTTTTTTTTTTGACAGACTGTTTTCTTTCCTCTTCAAGAAGTTTCATTAATGTAGAAAATGACTCTTCAAGAGTATATTGGCCTTAGACAAGGTAATTCTTATGCAGAAACGTCTAAAACCTGCTTACAAGATAGATGTCTATGACTGTAAAACATCTGTGAAAGTGTGAAACTACGACTCTTATTGCAGAGTAATATATACATGTATTGGTGCTGAGTTCACATGTCTGATTTCATCTAGAATAATTGAGTAACACTAGTAGGAGTCAACTCAATTGATCTATTTTTACTAGCAACCCTGGTTTAGGGCACAGCCCTGCTCCGTAGGCTGTTGTGGTCTGTGTGAAGTCCACTGCTTCTGCTGCTTCCCTGTGGATATGGTTATCAATGTCCAAGTTAAATGGCGGTTGTATAGGTGACATGAGAACTTGCCAGTAAGGAGCTGTCTCAAATTGTAGCTATTCACCTTAAGCTTTTGTTTTAAAAACAAACTTTAAGCATTGAAATGCTTGCCTAGTGACAGTATAATTTAAAATCTTAAATGATGTAATGCTTCAGGGGAGGAAAGATTCCAAAGTGTGCACATTTTTGTCTAATTTTAAGCTTCTCTAACCTTTTGTTTTTAGGATGATCCTCATGATCACTCATTTGGGCCAATAGCTACTAGTGGGAGCAATCTTTATGATGCTATAAGGATGGGAGCAGGTTCAAGTATAATTGAAAACCTTCAGTCACAGCTAAAACTAAGAGAAGGAGAGATTGCACATCTCCAGGTACTGTAGTTACTCTTACATAACCAAACACAGCATTTGTAAGTGTAAATACTAATACAGTCATTATTATATTGTTACTTTTATATTCAAAAAGCTTGGTATCTCTTCTCATAGCAGAATGCATTCACTCTTCCCCTTTTATGACAATTCTGTTAACTGGAACAGCCGCTGGAGGTGTGTGTAGGGACGAGCAAGAGAAGGATATGTTGCTTCCTTTTTTGTTTTGGCAAGGACCTATCCAGAAAACTTGTCTATCTGAAAAAAAAAAAAAAAAAAAAAAAAAGAAACCACTGATCAGAATTGAGAAGAAGTAAGAGTGCTTCCAGGGTGTGCTCTTTCTTAGTCTGGCTTAAGAAAAAGCCTTAATTACTGTATCAAAATATTTTGATACAGTGTTTTATAAATATGGCAAATTCTTTCCTCCTCCTAATTGTTAAAAGTGTTTACCTTAGCTGGAAATTGGAAACCTTGAGAAAACCCGATCGATAATGGCAGAAGAACTGGTTAAATTAACAAACCAAAACGATGAACTTGAAGAAAAAGTGAAGGAAATACCAAAATTACGTGCACAGTTAAAGGTAAGTGTATTTCTGTTGTAAATCTGATGTAAAATTGACATACTTGGGGTGTTTTAGGAATACCCCTATGAATTTAGGATTATATTCAAATCTGTCCCTAATAATAAATGACTGAAGAGCCTGGGATTGGTTTTTTTATAGAAGAATCTGAAAATGCCTAGTCTATGACTAGGTAGTCACTTCAAAATGCAGTTGTTCGAAATGTGTGCTGCGTAAACTTGCATGCTAAATCAAGGAGAGAACTTTTTTTTTTTTTCTCATATAAGACACTTGTCTGGAAGTAGGCTTTTAGAGGAGGGGGTGTTTTGATAAATAGCATGGATTTGTGAGAGTTTGGTGCAGAAGCTGAATGGGTATGCAGTACTGATATAGGTAATAGGACAAATATTTTAATCCTCTAAATGTTTAAGAACTTAAATTGAAATATTGGAAATAGTTCTGGAGTAATTCAAGAAATTATCATTGTTCTTTAAATGCAGAATGTTAAATTTTCCTAAGAAACATTTCACAAACTGCGGTCATTGCTGTGGTAAAACTTTGTGCAGCTTGCTAACTGTTCTTTAATGCTTATAGCAGTTGAACTTCAAGGTGCTTCAGTGCATCCTCTGAAGCCAGCACTAATTCTTTGTAGTCAAGGTTCTTTGTCTTTGGAATATCTTCCTTTTATATCTAGAGTATAAATCTAGCTGTATTCCGAGAGTCAAAGCATAAAATATTTTTGAAGAGTTTACTATGTGTTTCACTGTAAAGTAGTTATACTTTGATAAAATAATGCTACATTTACTTTCCCTAGTAGTGTAAAACACTATCCTAGCAGCAGCTTTTTTTAAGTTGAAAAACAGTTGGATAATAAACTACATATCCTTGCAGGATTTGGATCAAAGATACAATACAATTCTTCAGATGTATGGAGAGAAAGCAGAGGAAGCTGAAGAACTCCGACTGGATCTCGAAGATGTGAAAAACATGTACAAGACTCAGATAGATGAACTTTTAAAACAAAGACAAAATTAATTCCTGCTGGAACTCTTAACATTATATGTTAACAGATTGTAAAGATAATTGTTTATGTAAATGCTGAATTTAAATGTCTTGTAAAAACACCCCTGTATTATAGAAAGTGTGACTATATAATAGAGTTCATATGTTGACAAAAAAATCAATGCTTTAAGTGTCTTGTACTGTCTGCAGTTAAATTATTTGTGCAATATTTAATTCTTTTTTTCTCAGTCATCCCTTTATTTAACTTTTTGCTAAACAGTGGACCATTTAATTGTAAACAGTAGCAGAAATGATGATTGTTACCTTGTGAGACCAGCACTGGAAGGCATAAGTTTTACTAAAGCAGCCCTGGATTCATAAACTCCGTGTATCTATGAAAATGACATTAGAAGTCTTTTTTAAGTGTTCTTAATATGAGTTTTTCTAAAATCGCATCAGTAAATTTTTAATAACAAAAGAGCAATGGCTTGCTATCCTGTAGCATAATTGGTGGATATTTTTGTGACAGGAAAAATCTCATATTTGTACTCAACATCTGAACATGTTAGGATCATAATTCTCTATTCTTGGGCAAATCAGATTAGTCTGACTATTTTACACTAACTCCTCTAAGCAGAGCATGATACTCGAATGAGGCTTTATAAATTACAGCTTCATCTTGTATATTGCTTGTGTGTTGTCTCATGAGCTGCATAGAGACGGCAGCTCTGCTTGTAATTCTAAATGTGTTTAACACCAGAAATCTGAACTATTGCATATTTGTTCTAGATTTGGATGCTGATTTTTAACAGTAGCTAAAACAGTTCAGGAGAATGCAGAAAAATTATTTTATTTTTTTAAAATTAATTACTGCTGCTCTCATGGTTCCTTGTATAGCAGTGGCAAGGTTTGGATTTTTTTCAAAATTGTACTGTGACTTAATATAGTTTTCAAGCAAGTCTCCAGTGGCTGCAAAGTATTTCTCATGCCATTCCTTAAGCAAGGTATTGGTCAAATAGCATCCACATGGCTTGAAGTTTAGCTGCATTTTCGGTAATGTCAGAGGAAACGTTTGAATTGGACCCTTGGGAATGCTGAGAATCAGGAGAAGAAGCTTGCGTCTTCCTCTCTGCATTCCAGACAGCAAATATTTTGCTGCATCTCAGAACTGTAGCTGTGATAGGTACTCGTGTGAAATTGGCACGAGTGGCAGTTGAAATTCTTTGCTTATCATACCATTGCCTCTATTGTGAGAGGTTTTTTTTCACATCTGTGCCCACTGTAGTTTGTGTTAGAGAAATCTGTTCATGCTTGTATATTCAGTGGCCTGAGAGAGATAAAGGATGGGAATGATGAGAAATTGCTTCTGGAGAAAAGCCTCTCAGTAAAACTACTTTTCTATGGGTGTTGGGGAGTTATTCCTCATTGGGAGAACAGTTAGTCACTGAAGTTACACAGGCAAGGGTGCGTTTGTGGAAAAGCCTAGTTCAGTTTGAGATTCAGACGGTTATTCTGAGGACTTCAATAAAGCCATAGAGCAAGAACACTAAAATTTGTCTTAACCCCCCCATCTGTCATAGAAACTTTAACTGCTTTAATAAAATACTTTTTTATTTTCTTTTTTTTTTTTTCCTTCATCGGGAGGTGGGAAGGAGCTACCCTCTTACTGTCTTAGTTTCAGTTTTGGAAACCAGGGTGAAACCATTTTTCTTCTAAAAAAACTCAGAATTTAACACTTTGCCTTCATACTGAAGTGTGGTTGGTTGCTCTATGTTTCAAAAAAACCCCACCCCAAAACCACTGCACAAAAAACCAAAAAACACTCCATATAAAAGCACATGTTGGAACTTACTCATTTGCTGTGTGTTAGAATTATGATGTGCAAATGTTAGAAGTTCAGCCTTGTCTTAAAAAAAGAAACTTTTTATGATGGTCAAAGATTAGAAATTCTATTCAGCTTTTATCTACTGCAGTGAATCAATAAATTGCTGATTTTTTACCTTTTTTTTTTTTTTTTGCAGTCTTGGTAGACAAATGCAGCACTCCTTAAAAAGAAAAAAATCCTTTGAACTTTTCTTTGGACCTATTGCTGCCAGTGCTTTTGAAAGTAACATTTCCTGTGTAATGTGTGAGTAGCTACTCCTTAAGGGCTGGCACAGGTGCAGTTTTGAGTATGTCTCAGACTATTTTGGGTTTTCAGGAAGAGCTTAGGTAAATGGGAAATTTTAACATGCAGTCAACATTAACTGTTTTAGATATAAATGCATTTGTCAGAGCATTCGATTTTTAAATTTTACAAAAGTAGATGTAAATACTTGTATTGACTATTTTTTGATTCTTTATTCCCACTTAGTGCAACCTTTACTATCCCATGAGAATCGGATGGCCTGCTGTGTCTTAATCATCAAAGCCTTAGAAAACAAAGTGGCTGTTGGAAGGTAACAGAGTATTCTGTTTTGGTCATCTTTGATACAAACGTTGTATGTGTCTTGTGAAGAAATACTAAGATTAATGTCTGCTTGGACACCTTAAGTTCATTGCTATTACTGAGATTGCCTAGAAAAGTAACATGCAGAATGAAAGCACTTGGGTCAGAATACTAATGTCCACTTCTGTTTATTATTTTAGAATATTCTTTCTGAAAGCAACTAACTAGTACCTCATTTTCACTGCATATGCAAGTATGAAGAAATGGTCTTACTCAAAGTATACTGTTCAGAGGGGGCTTACTTCCTAGTCTATGGAAGGTAACGGAAAGGCATTTAAAGGGCATTTATTCATACTTGCATAAATTTAAACAGAAGTGGTATTTGCTTCTCTGGGCACTGTTGCATCCTTTATGAACGCAGGAGGTGATGTTCAAAATCCTAGGTATCCCTACGTGAGAGAGAGGGTTAGTTCTATTAATTTTTTTTTGTCCCACTGCAAGTTTGTTGCAATTTAGGTACCTATGTTTTACTAAGGGCTATAATGATCATGAATATGAAACTAAATGGGTGGTCTCACGGTGAAACTGGAACCCTTGGTTTCTAGTTGTAAAATGTGTATAAACTGTAAAAAGCATGGGTCAGGGTAAAATAAAACTTTGTGCTAAGAGTGTGCTCTGGTTCTCCTTGAGAAAAGCCTTAAAACCAGTTTTGTGGTGGGCGGGTGTGTACGAACCGAGTGCTATGAAAGTATTGCGAAAGTTAGAATATGTCAAACGCAGTTTGAATTTTGAGTTACAAACGCCAGTTAAAGTCTTATTTCGGTGCAGGAGGCTGGTTTATTTGTAAGTGCGCCGCAGTAATGGGTTTAATGTGGAAGTTCACGTAGCTTTCCCTTCTTCAGGTAGGTGTCCCTGCCCGCCGCCCCTTCTTCTCCCGCAGCTTTTCCCCCCGGAACCCGAGGGGCGAACCGGCCGGAGAACTTAGTGCCTGCCCCCCCCCCCGCGGCAATTGCCGAAGCGGGAACGGAGCGAAAGCGTGAGCGACGCTGCGTGTCGCCGATAAAGGCGATGCCCTGACCGGCCCCCCTGTGAGCCCCGGGGCTCCCGGGGGGTTTTGTGCGTGTGTGTGAGAGGCCGCCTCAGACAATGGGGTGCCCGGAGG